GGGGGGGAGAGAGAGAGAGACAGAGACAGAGAGACAGATAAACATCGATGTAAGAGAGACACATAGATTGGTTGCCTCCTGCATGCACCCTGGCTGGGGCAGGAGCCTGCAACTGAGGTATGTCCCTTTGGCTGGAGTGGAACCCGGGACCTTCAGTCTGCGGGCCAACACTCTGTCCACTGAGCCACACTGGCTAGGGCTGCTGCACATCCCATAGCTAACCCTTGCTTAGGCTGTGGACTTGACTGCACCTCGCTGTTTCTGTGGAATCCTCCTTCACCTCCACCTGTCCCGTCTGCACTCCCACCAGGGGCACAGGTGTCCATAGCAGGGCTCATCTTTGTCCTTGTCGTGAGCTGTGGTGAGGCTGCTGAGCCTGCATGTCCAAGTAGTCAGAAGTCAGGAAGGATGGTGCTATGGGCTTTTTTTTTGGGGGGGGGGAATTGGTGCAGGGATTAGGTAAGGATTAGGTCTGGAGAAGGGGCAGGGCAGGGCCCATGATGTTGGAGTGAGGGAGAAACCGGCGGTGCTGCGAGGCGAGAGGGAGCAGCCAGCAGCACTGAGAGGCCGGAGGCGCAGCTCCATTTCTCTCAGTTGAGCTGGACGTGCTGGGGAGCTGCTGGGGAGAATGAAGGGGGGCTGTCTTCCTGGAGAACTTAGTGACATGGGACATGGGCCTGGTGCAGGCTGCAGCTTTGTCTGTGGAGTTTCCAGTTCCCCAGATGAGACTGTTCCCCTCCCCAGACTTCTCAGGAAGGAAATGATGACTCTTATTGTGCTGATTAGTTTTGTTACTGTGGCTTCTGTCCCTTGGAAGGCAGTGTGCTCCACCAGACCTACCACTTCCTGAGAAAAGTCGAACAAGGCTGGTGCTGTGTGTCAGCAGCTCACCTGTGTGACGTGAGGTGGGCGGTCACGGAGCAAGATTTGAAATGGTTGAAAGGACCGTTGGCATCTGCTCTGAAAGGTTCCACTGTCACCAACGGGCCATGTGGAAGTTGGGGGAGGGGTGCCTGTGGAGGGGAGGGCGGTGCTGGTTAGGAGCAGCTCTGTGCTGAGGGAGGGGTGGTGTGGCCTGTGAGTGTGTGGGTCTGTTTTTGCGTTAGACTGCATGCCCACTTCCTCCTCCATCTCTGTGCTGCCTCAGGAACCAGGTGCAGTGCCGGCCACCTGGCAGGTCCACCAGCCTCATAGCACAGCCAGGCTGTGTCTAAATTTACTCTTTTAAAAAGGTTACTGAATGTGCAAGTTGGGCATTGCGCCTCACAGTGGGAGAGCTTGCCCTAGGCAAAGGGTCAAGCAGCACCCCCCCCCCCC